CCTCCCACTAAGGTCTGCGGTCCTCATACTGTCACATGTGATTGGCCGTCTGCTGCTCGATGGCCCATTCTGCCAACATGCTGCAGAGGGAGGGAGGAGTTGTGAAAACCCCCGAAGCACCGGCAGTCACTGTCATCTCTGGGCCTGACTCTGGGCTTAGTGAATAAGCAAAGGTAAAGATTGATAGATGACATGAACAGAGTGTTGTAGGGGAGATGGGGGGCTGCTGACAGAATATGCTTCGGATTGGTGAGGTCCTGAGAGGGCTAGCTTGACTTCAACCACACATGACTAACAACCCCGAAGGCAGGTAGAGAAAAGGCCCTGTCATAGCCTATTACTGTATCTCAGCTCTCCAGGCAACATTACAGCTACACAGCAAACACATCTACGCCTTCTGTACGGGGCTGAGGAGAGAGGGTTTGAAATATCTGTGCTAGTTGAACAAAAAAACGAGTTGTACTGCATGTTAAATCACACGCAACACACATTCACTTGAATCCCATGAGTTATGTGTGTGGCTCTGCTCTGCCTAAGACATGTTTATCATGAAAATCAATATGGCGTTCTCCTGGAACAACTTGGAGTGAAAGGTGTCACATTATCACTCTGAAGGATTCAATAAAACAATGGCGCCCAAGCTAAATGTGCTAAGAGAGGACATTAAGCACGATTATGTGATGCAGAGCTGAAATAAAAACACATTTTGAGAGGATTTATTTTGTATGAGCTGCATGATATGCTCTAAGCTGCATCAGTCGAGCGCTGCTGCAACATAACCACGCTGACAGCAGTGAAGCGGCTCATGTTGCTGCAAGGTGCACGTGTAATCCTCAGTCAGCGACAGCATTAGTCACATTTTAACACTTGCTCTATAAAAGGAAAAGGGGTGTGTGTTTTTCCTAATCTCCCTCTTTCCCTTGTTCAACAACTATGTTATTTGAACATACCGTCCTTTGAAAAAAAGGAGGTTTATCAGGATGCAGTTGTCCATTATAAAGTGTTCAATATGATAGGGTTTTAAAATTACTCGGTGTAGCTCAGAATAAGGGATCAATGGAACAGAGGACATTTGGGAAACTTCCCAGGCTTTTTATTATGTAAATTCCTCCCGTCTGGATTCTAGCACCATCTATTGACAGCTACGCGTGCTTATACTATTTCCTTAATGTATTTCCAGGTACATGAAGACAAAATCAATCATCCGTGAATACTAGATTGTGTCCCAATGTGACTACTAGCGGAATAAATGTGTTCATCAAAGAGATTTAGATTATAAAAACATGGATCCTATTAGAGGGCCAGTCAGCTGTCTGCCTGAGGGTGAGCCTCAGGTGTAGCTCGCAATGAAAATGAAGACATTTCAGACGGTGATGCCCTGACTGACTGGTCACCGAACGGGTTGATCTGATCTAAGTGGCATGGGTGGCACTGCTCGGGGAGGGAAGGGCAGGGGGGTAGCCTGGGTGTATTTGCACCTTTATGTTTTATTTAATTTAATTATTTTGTATTTATTTGTATTCTTTTTATTAGATTTACACACTTTTTTATGATTAACATTATGAAATTAAAAAAAAAAAAGTTATTATTATTATTTTATTTATATATATTTTTTCCTCAATATTAAAAATATGTTGGTATTCCTGCTTTCTTTTGGTTGTTCTGTATATCTTCTATGTTGAAAAAAAGGGGTTGTATCCACCCCACAGAAGTCTGTACTCTGCTACAGTATGTAAGCTTCTTAATACAAATGTTTGAAACAGATTTATCACAGAGATGGGACAGAGGGGCTTCACAAACTCTGATCGGCCTTCTTGTAAAGCAGAACGATGAGCTTACGTCAGCATGAAACCCTTCACATCAGCTGCTAGTAGTAAGCTAATTGGAATACAAATAGTAACACATGAATCATTTAGATAGTGTGTAGATTTTCCTGAGAGGTCCACGTGGTTTACAAAGGATTATGATAGTAATTCTACAAGAATTGAGAGCCAGTGCTTTAAATCAGAGTTTTTAATAATTCATCTTACGATTGGGAAGGGATAAGAAGGCTGGATTACACGCTGTATTATTTCCATTTGCATCCCTCGACATATGTAGGAAATCTGAAACCAGCGTGGTAATGGAAGACTGTGCCACTAACAATGAAAACGATGATTTTATTAGAATGTAAGTGCATGGCTATAGCTGAAAAAAATTCAGATGATGATTGTTGAAGATGAGAATAGGGGGATGTGTGCAGAAATAATGAGGGCTTAAGCTACACAAAGGGACACCATGGAGAAGTAACTGTGTAAAACCATCATGCACCAGTCTAGATCAGTGGGTTTTTCTAAATCAGTCAACAGAAAAAATCTATTTTGAAATATAATTTAGGGTTGAAACTAACTTTTCAGAGAGTTTAAAGTGATCGATGTTTTTGTGATCATTATTATTACACCTTTCCTGTATTTCTTTATCCGGTCGGTTGCGTTTCCCTGATCCATGAAGTGGTCATTCAAGTGTCACTCCATGAATAGGAGGCTGATCAAGCGGAGGCTGTTGTCATAGCAACTGCCAGGGGTACACAGGTAAGGGCACGGATGATTGCCCGAACTGAAGAGTGCTTGATGAGAGGTAGGGGCCACTGTACAATCACCGCTCTGTGTGTCAGGCTCCATGCGACACAAAAGAGAAAGACATTTGGGATGGTGCAGCTGCAATTCCCAAATGTCTAAAAATCACTGGTGTTTTGTCTGATTGACCAACCAGATCTGTCCGTCTTCACACCTTTTGACTGTTCTATCTGAAACCCCACAGGATGAGGACTCTGGTGGTTTGATGTCCGGGTCTTTTTGAACATTGAGTGGAATCAGAAACTGTGTGATCTATAACAGTAACATTTTAGGTCATCCCTCAATTCCAATATCCATTTTACAGCGCTGGATATTATTTGTTCCTCTCACTCCTGACATTAACCTTGTACAAGGTGTTCTTCCAGACTTGTTGTGAGTCATAGGGATGCTGCCTCATGTAAGATGATGGCTGTAATAGTCCTCCACAGATGCCTATTGATTCTCACATTGCACAAATAGTCAGCTTAATGTACCAAGCCAGTGGAGCAAAACTGACATCATCCAGCCGTGGCCCCCTTTCGCAGCATGGCACATAGAGATAAATGTTATTCTAAACAAAGCTGCCTATTTTTTTGCCTGACCCCTGGCTGATGGATTAATTGTTGTAAATAAAATGTTCTTTCTTCTTCTTATTGATTTCACAGAGTGTACATACAGACGATGTATGTGAGCATCCACGTGTCCAAACGCTACAATATGCAGCTTTTATCTTTTTGTGCGAGGCCCTGGGTGAAGTCTTGTGACCATGCTGTGGTGTCAGGTGTTGTCTGGGTGAAAACTGTAGAGCAGGCACTTAAAGTCAAAGGCAGCCTTTTGAGGAAGAAAGGATGACATTGGGATGAAATAAAAGAGAAAGACAGCTGCGTTTGCCACAACGGGTGTGAAAGATTTGAGAGTGTCAATGAAAAGTGGGTCCTCCTTACACTTAAATGTCATCCGCTCATTGAAAGCCCAAGAGGTTTCAATGAGAGTCCACTTTCTAACTAGGTGTCTATCAATGTGTCCGTCTACTTTAGGAGTGTTTATTAGCAGAAAAATAACCAGATTATTGCGTACATTTAGCAGGTCTCTTATTTGATTTCTCACTTACCCTTAACTTTATTTCGGAAAGATTACTTTTAACTTCAACCCCATTATTTCCTATGTCTTCAGTTGTTTGTACTTACTAGTGGTATAGTATACATTATTCAATACATCTTACTGTAAATAATCATCCAGCAAAGTACAGTATTTGTGTATTTAGACTTTTTTCTGCCTTGGGGAATGAGCTTTGCCCTCATTTACATGCACATGAGGTTTTCCACCTAGAGCTTCTAACCCAGTAAAGCAGCAAATCTAATTATTGGTCCCCACACTGGGAGGTCTTTTCATTAAACTATTGGCAATACTATCATCCAATTAGTGCTTGCATTTAATGATTGATCTTGCATGGTAAGTACCTTAACCTTTAATTTACATGTAAACAAATGGTGCACGGTTTCATCGCAGCAGAAGAGAGTTGCAGATAATTTAAGAAATATAAATATTGACATCAGTTTCTATTTTAAGCACCGACACACACATGCCAAGTGCACACCGTGATAAATACACACATCCAGAAGTGGCTATGCATATTCATGTCATCCCGCTGGGCATTCATTTCTAGTCCTGCTAGAATATGCTATGTATTTGTATGCATGAGTTGAACAGCGATATGTACATGTGTGTATATTTGTGAATGTGATTTTAATATTTCAAATTGGTAGGCTATACACTTTTTTGTGAAAATACTTTTTTTATATATTTCTGAAATACCGAACTGCTTTCGGGCAAATATTATACCAAATTAAACATTTTCTCTCTAACAAGTTCAACAGCCTTGATATCCCTACACTTTAGAGCAGTTTCCAGTACTCATCAACCAGTGTATGAGCCTTGCCCTTCCCAATTTACCAGACATTCAGTGTAGAAAAAAATGTGTTAAGCTACGAGTAAAACACTTTCCTACTTATTTACCCCACGTTCAAGCTTGTAAGCCGTTTTTATCAATGTGTATATAATAACGTATCACTAATAATGAAACAGAGTCTGCAGCTCCCCTTGGCTTTGTGGACTTTACAGTTTTGGTTCACTCTCATCGTTTCGTTTCAGCTTCAGTAGGCAGCTGTTTTCCGATAAAAGCCCTAAAACTGTGCACTTCCTGCCCAGCAACAAATGGCAAACACGAGTGGAGACTAGCTGGTGATCAAAGTGGAAGTGGAAGTAATAGTAATTACAGGTTATAGAAAACATCAAGGTTTCTGACATGGCAGCAGGTTTTTCTGCAGCTCAGCTTCTTGGTCTCTTTTTCCTAAACGAGGGGTGTCAATCTCTTTTGGCTCTTTTTCCTTATCTGGTTCCCAACAGGTGACAACAGAGCGGGACCTGAAGTGGCCGAAGTATGAACTTTATGAGTCTGATCCAGTAGTAAGGTGAGGCTCTGTTGGTCTCTGGCTTGTTTGTTTGCTCAGATTTTGTAGTTTTTCACCCCATTCAATAGTCCATTATACATTCCCTCCTTTAAATTAAGAAATATATTGCAGCCTCTCTGACTCATTTCTCACAGAGCACCATATAGAACAGTCAACAAGGAACAATACTGATAAATAACAGATTTTGGCAGCTTGCATATTTCAGCAACAATGCTCGGTGCTGATGTCAGCGGTTGTATCTAACTGGACTTTTTCAGCATGGGCAACTGCAGTCAGCTCTGATAGGCTGCCTTTCGTTGAGTCTTTCAAAATGTTTCAGCACCAGGGATTACATTTCACTCCGTCTCCTTGCCCTCTTCTTTCACTTATGCTGAAGCTGTCTGTCTTTACAGCTCTTGGTGAGATGGTAGGTTGTTTTGCTTCTCAGTGGGCATGTGTTTACACTTTGAAGAGGCTTTTCTTGTGTGAGAGAGATTGCTGGACATTGCAAGCCTGTGTTTTCATATCAGCAAGGTAGCCTCTGAATACCCACTTGCTTTTCAGCATGATTGTCTGACACCTGCAGAGTGTTTCGTGTGGGAGTGTCTCGTGAGCGGTCAAGCATTGTGGTGTCAGACGAGTCCAATGTTTTGATGGGAAGTACGATGGATGTGTGCCATATAGGGATGTGATGGTCGGCCAACTCCCTATATGAAAGGCTATATTATTAAACATTGTAATCCTATAGTACTTCTAAAAACACATGTTATTTCCTTCTCCTTTTTCACACTATAACCAGTGGCGGACTGGACATCGGGTCGTTTGGGATGATTGACGATGGGTCGGTACTGAAGTGGGCCGGTCGGACGATGTGGGCCGGTCGGATAAGTCACTAGCACCCCCCCCCTTG